TAGAGGGTGGTGGCGTTCCCACGGCGGATGCGGAAAACTCGGCTTCCAGCCGAGTCTCACGCGAACCGTGAAATTTATTATTATACTACTCAATGGTGTCCACTGCCCGCTAGGGAGTTCCGAGCAGGGAGTAGTACAATACCGGTATTGTACCACTCCCTGGTTCCGAGTACTAAAAAGCTGCTGCTGCCCACCGGTGCATACAATTATGTACATGCAGTATGGTGCAGGCAGTCTTGCTGTGCATGTGTGCACGAAGCCTGAACATGGCAGAGATTATGGTGGCTGCCAAGTAGCCCACCCAGCTTGGGCGTTTGGCAGATAATATGTGGGCAAAAATAAATTGGCAGAATGATTAATTTTGTTACTCTTTCTCGTACATATGTAGAGTAAAACCTGCAACTAACGACCACCCCTAGCCCTTGGGGCCAGAGAAAGCGGTCTTTAGTGGCAGGTGGTCCTTAGTTAGAGGTTGGCACCGCACAACCATAATTATTATTAAAATGAATGTGAGACCGTCCATGCCTGACGAACTGGTCTGTAGTACCAGGCTGGTCGCTAGTCACGGTGGTCTGTAGTACCAGGCTGGCCGCTAGTCACGGTGGTCGGTAGTACCAGGCTGGCCGCTAGTCACGGTGGTCTGTAGTACCAGGCTGGTCGCTAGTCACGGTGGTCGGTAGTACCAGGCTGGCCGCTAGTCACGGTGGTCTGTAGTACCAGGCTGGTCGCTAGTCACGGTGGTCTGTAGTACCAGGCTGGCCACTAGTCACGGTGGTCTGTAGTACCAGGCTGGCCGCTAGTCACGGTGGTCGGTAGTACCAGGCTGGTCGCTAGTCACGGTGGTCGGTAGTACCAGGCTGGCCGCTAGTCACGGTGGTCTTTAGTACCAGGCTGGCCGCTAGTCACGGTGGTCGGTAGTACCAGGCTGGTCGCTAGTCACGGTGGTCGGTAGTACCAGGCTGGCCGCTAGTCACGGTGGTCTTTAGTACCAGGCTGGTCGCTAGTCACGGTGGTCTTTAGTACCAGGCTGGTCGCTAGTCACGGTGGTCTGTAGTACCAGGCTGGCCCCTAGTCACGGTGGTCGGTAGTACCAGGCTGGTCGCTAGTCACGGTGGTCGGTAGTACCAGGCTGGCCGCTAGTCACGGTGGTCTGTAGTACCAGGCTGGCCGCTAGTCACGGCGGTCGGTAGTACCAGGCTGGCCGCTAGTCACGGTGGTCTGTAGTACCAGGCTGGCCGCTAGTCACGGCGGTCTGTAGTACAAGGCTGGCCGCTAGTCACGGTGGTCTGTAGTACCAGGCTGGCCGCTAGTCACGGTGGTCTTTAGTACCAGGCTGGTCGCTAGTCACGGTGGTCTTTAGTACCAGGCTGGTCGCTAGTCACGGTGGTCTGTAGTACCAGGCTGGCCCCTAGTCACGGTGGTCGGTAGTACCAGGCTGGTCGCTAGTCACGGTGGTTGGTAGTACCAGGCTGGCCGCTAGTCACGGTGGTCTGTAGTACCAGGCTGGCCGCTAGTCACGGTGGTCTGTAGTACCAGGCTGGTCGCTAGTCACGGTGGTCTGTAGTACCAGGCTGGCCGCTAGTCACGGTGGTCTGTAGTACCAGGCTGGCCGCTAGTCACGGTGGTCGGTAGTACCAGGCTGGTCGCTAGTCACGGTGGTCGGTAGTACCAGGCTGGCCGCTAGTCACGGTGGTCTTTAGTACCAGGTTGGTCGCTAGTCACGGTGGTCTTTAGTACCAGGCTGGTCGCTAGTCACAGTGGTCTGTAGTACCAGGCTGGTCGCTAGTCACAGTGGTCTGTAGTACCAGGCTGGTCGCTAGTCACGGTGGTCGGTAGTACCAGGCTGGCCGCTAGTCACGGTGGTCTGTAGTACCGGGCTGGCCGCTAGTCACGGTGGTCTGTAGTACCAGGCTGGCCGCTAGTCACGGTGGTCTGTAGTAGCAGGCTGGTCGCTAGTCACGGTGGTCTGTAGTACCAGGCTGGCCGCTAGTCACGGTGGTCTGTAGTAGCAGGCTGGTCGCTAGTCACGGTGGTCTGTAGTACCAGGCTGGCCGCTAGTCACGGTGGTCTGTAGTAGCAGGCTGGTCGCTAGTCACGGTGGTCTGTAGTACCAGGCTGGCCGCTAGTCACGGTGGTCTGTAGTAGCAGGCTGGTCGCTAGTCACGGTGGTCTGTAGTACCAGGCTGGCCGCTAGTCACGGTGGTCTGTAGTACCAGGCTGGCCGCTAGTCACGGTGGTCTGTAGTACCAGGCTGGCCGCTAGTCACGGTGGTCTGTAGTAGCAGGCTGGTCGCTAGTCACGGTGGTCTGTAGTAGCAGGCTGGTCGCTAGTCACGGTGGTCTGTAGTAGCAGGCTGGTCGCTAGTCACGGTGGTCTGTAGTAGCAGGCTGGTCGCTAGTCACGGTGGTCTGTAGTAGCAGGCTGGTCGCTAGTCACGGTGGTCTGTAGTAGCAGGCTGGTCGCTAGTCACGGTGGTCTGTAGTAGCAGGCTGGTCGCTAGTCACGGTGGTCTGTAGTAGCAGGCTGGTCGCTAGTCACGGTGGTCTGTAGTAGCAGGCTGGTCGCTAGTCACGGTGGTCTGTAGTAGCAGGCTGGTCGCTAGTCACGGTGGTCTGTAGTAGCAGGCTGGTCGCTAGTCACGGTGGTCTGTAGTAGCAGGCTGGTCGCTAGTCACGGTGGTCTGTAGTAGCAGGCTGGTCGCTAGTCACGGTGGTCTGTAGTAGCAGGCTGGTCGCTAGTCACGGTGGTCTGTAGTAGCAGGCTGGTCGCTAGTCACGGTGGTCTGTAGTAGCAGGCTGGTCGCTAGTCACGGTGGTCTGTAGTACCAGGCTGGCCGCTAGTCACGGTGGTCTGTAGTAGCAGGCTGGTCGCTAGTCACGGTGGTCTGTAGTAGCAGGCTGGTCGCTAGTCACGGTGGTCTTTAGTTACAGGTTTTACTGTACATGTATGTAAGAGCCATTCCTTCTCCCGGACAGGTGGATGGATGCCGTTGAAATCGTCCACAACCACATCCCGCCAACGCTTGCGTGGGCCGTGCTGAGGTCGAGATGCGGAGAGCTCCCCAAACAGGGTACACTTGGGCAGACGGTCATCGTCCATGCGGCCAATTATGGCCGAGCCATCGTAGCCGACGCTTGCGGATGATATCGCCGATGTCCGAGTCGATTCCAAGAGTCTTCGCCAATAATTAATGCCGCGTAGAAGTGACTCGATCATCCCACTGCTGGTGTCTCGAGGTGCCGACAATAGCCCACGCGCACTGATGTTGGAATGCGTTAAGACGGCGCAGATCAGGAGCCTTGGTTGTCCAGCTCTCTACTCCATACAGCAGGGTCGGCGTAAGAACGAGAGACACATACATGTACATGTAGACACAACGTTGGCATCGGAGGGACAAGGAGCGATTCCTGATAGGGTCCGGCGGATTCTGGTAAGTTTCATGCATGTTTGGTATGTGGATAAAAAAATGGAGCAGAATTCGAGGGATTGCCCGCCATAAGGTTTGTATGGTTCTGCCAATTTCACTGCTTTTTGAGCAGAATCTGCCACCTTTTCGAGCATTATCCGTGCACCCCTACTTCCCGAAGGCAGATGCCCGCAAGCAGCCAAACACCCGAGACGCCTTAGAAATCCCCGACTGCAGATAAGGCGCACAAAGACCATCCCGGTGAATCACGGACCCAAGATACCCTTGAATTGGTCTACAGCGTCGATGGTTTCATTCCCGAGATGAACGGGCTTACTGGTTGGAGTGTTGATTGACATGGCTTTGGTCTTTGTCAAGCTGACGGTCAATCCCCAACCAGAAGCAGGGGCCAAAAACGTCTCCGCGCACCGGTCAAAGGATGCCTTGGATGTGGCGTATAGCGCAGCATCGTCAACAAACAGTGCGACTCCCCAGAACCGCTCGGAGTGGAGGGAGGTTATCCACCGTTGTCCTCAGCCTCGTAATGTCTCCGCCTAGCCAGAATACCGTTGTGCATGCCAAGACGTGTCGCCGCCCCGGCAATCTCAAGCCGCGCGACGAACCTTTCTGCCGGTTGTCGTCGAATTAGTCCTTTCGCTATCATCATCATCATTGCCTTTGGCTTTGGCAATGGGCAAGTTCAAGGTTCAAGGTTCAAGGTCATCAAGAGTAAAATAATATTAATTTTTAAAAGCTCCCTACAATTGTAGGGAGCTTGTTCTTGGTGTCGTACTTCGAAGTACATGTTATGTATGTGAATAAGAAATGGAGCCATGGCATCTTCCCCCTCCCCCTTACTGCCTTAGCAGCAGATCTACAAAGTACAAGTAGATTTACACACACACATACAGTGCACTCGTACTCCTCGGCGAGTCCTATCCAGTATCCATGGTATCCATGATGGTATCCTCGCCCTCCGCCGGGAAGGCCATGCATCACAGTGGTGTGCATGTGCCTGTATTGCTAGTGTAAGCCTGTAATCAGGTAATGCATGATGCCAAGAGTAGATAAACAAGAGTGTGCAACTCGCGGATGGCCTGGCCCACGGCGGAATTTTTTGTTGACGTAATCTTTTCGACGACGCACGCGCTGCGAGCCTTTTGGAGAGTTTTCCCTCGTGCACTTGGCTGGGCTTTACACTACAAGTCGGTGCCCAGCACGTGCTCTCACACTGCTCTGCGGCAAAGCCGCGTTTCTCTGAAAAAAGGTGACGTAAACAAAAAATTCCGCCGTGGGCGCGGAGTATCTGCAGATTGTGCAGGAGAGATCCGGAGTTGCACACTCTTGTTTATCTACTCTTGATGATGCGATCCACATGATCCATCGAACACAAAAAGAGACCTCGCGAGCTCGGCCCGGCCCGCGGCCCGGCTCTCTCCCGCTAGTACCGCGGCCCGCGCGGGCCCCAAGGAACGCGGCGCGCGCCGACTTCACGTCAGTTCACGATCACTTGCACGTGGCGCTTTGGCGGTTTTTTTTGACATCACGTGCGCACGTGCAAGTAGATCTAGAAGAAGAATTATTTTTGGAAGAAAGCAACACGTGCGTGCAGGAAGAAGAAGTAGTAGACTGAGAAGAAATGCTACTTTTGCTGTAGAGTCAGTACTGCACGCAGTGGAGTGCCTCATCCTGAATCAGTGACTGTTCCTGCTGATGTTCTCTTCTGGTCGCGACCAGTGGATCTACCGATTTCTTTGATGAAAAGGTACGCCCGCCCAGTGGTAGTGTTCGGAATCAAAAGAAAATGTTCATGATTTCAAAGTTTCAATCCCTACAACCCACCGATACGAGCAGATATACGCGCCTGTGTGTGGCAGGAAAGACTTGCAGGCTAAGCCGCTTACTAGTGATACTAGGCGCTTCTGCTACAGGTGGAATCCTGATAATTCGAACCCCAAAATGCCAGGGAAAAACTTCTACAACTATAAATGAAGGACCTTATGCCATTTGTACAGATCCACGAAATCCCGTAGAATCCCGTAGACCCGGTAGGGTGTTGAATGTGCAGGACCCTGTTGTGTCTTTGTGGTCCACTTCACAACAATAACACACACAGAAGTCTCTGCTGTGAGCACGGTGGCTCGGCAATGGCTTTATTATTGATATTATTATATCTCCTTCCTGAATTTTTTTCTTGAATAATTGTACGTATAGGGCCTGATAAGAAAAAAATAGCACAAGACACTGCTGCTACTGTAGTCGCACAGCAAAACACACAGAACACTACAAAATGTTACAATGAATGTAACAACACCCGTCCAAGCTAAAGGACCGACATCCTTGCCCCAGGACGGCATCTCGAAACCCCCACACACTCACCACACGGTCATCATCCAACTTCAGTTCAATCATTGTATTCTTCCCCTGCAGACTCAACCCCCATGTCACTAGCCATACAATCTGAAGCTGTATGTAACCATACAATGGCCCACGACGCACACACCACCCCTACTTTTTTTAACTAAAAAAGAAAAGCAGTCGTAACTGCAACAGCCACATGGCCAATAAGAAAACCAATATGATATATCGATAAACACACACCCAGAAGTCAGGGGTGGGAGGGTGGGATACAAACTGCACCAACGAAAAGCCACTGCGAAGTGACAGGAATGCGGTCCAACACAACATTTTTGCTGGTGCAAAAAGTTGTGGGGAAATCCCAAAATCGGTGCGATTTTGCATGAGCCCAAATGTTCAAGTTACCCACAAAGACACAAGCTTTCCAACTCTCTTTGGCCGTTGGGAAGCGTACCGTTTTCTGCTATTTCCACTAAGAGATGGGGCCTGAAGGCATTTCATACGAAAACTTTTTCTGACAAAGATCTACAGTCCATTCAGAAAAAAATGAACTTCTAGCTTTTGGCCATAAATGGGTCAAACGTTGAGTTTTTTTAGAATTTTTTTCTGCAATCCCATATGGAATCCTCTTCCAATTATGTTTCTGAAGTTTTTTTTGTCCAAAAAGCAAGCCATAGCAAGAATAGGATTTCGGCCAGGTTTTGCCCCAAAAGCACTGAGTTGGGAAAAACCATCAAAATCCAGGCCGTTTGACCCCGCCTGCAACAGTGCATTCTGCAGTTCGAACCCCAGTTCAGGCACCCTTTTTGGACCCTTTTTCAAATTTCAAAGCTCGCAGCACTGCACTGTGTACGATGAAATCACGAAAAATCGCCAAATACGGGAGCTCGCCAGAGCCAGGACCCATCTTTTTATGAATGGACTGTAGCTAGTCATAAGTTCTAACCAAAGTGAAGAAGCTGGAAAAGCGATTACTGGTCATTTATTTATTATGACGCTAAAAAGGTCAAATGCGCATGCATAGCACACAATGAACACCCTACCGGGTCTACGGGATTCTACGGGATTTCATGGATCTGTACAAATGACATAAGGTTGATTACTGTACTAATATCGGGACATTGTAATAATTATCCAAACATGTACGGTGCCCACAATACATTAGAGAGGTTTACAAAACAAAAATGCGTACAAGCTTTCGCTCTACGTCATGAAGTGAGAAACTTCGCACGAACTTTCGCAACTTTGGACGCGAAACTTGCAGGGAACGCGAAATGAACTTTCGTGGGGAAATTCCGTGAGATGGGGTCATGGCGTACGTGCACTTGGCGCGTGCAAACTACGGAAATATGCAGAACACAAAATTTGTGCGAAGATTCCTACACTTTTTCGCAAGGCCTGTCGCGAAACTTCGTTCGAATTTTCGTCTGGCAGACCCTCTCTATTATGTACATCAAATTCTTGCTGTGTCACGCAGAGTTGCACTACGTACCTTGGACACAGATCTAGTGGATGCTGAACTGCCTGCGCATGCAAACGAAACTGACTTGTTGAAAAATATAGTGAACTTCGAATTGTGCTTTGCTAACTTCGAATTATCAGCACAAATCCCACACATTAAGGACGTTTAGCAACGCGAAAGTTCGAAAGAAAATTCGAGTCTGGGAATGAGTACAGAAACAAAGGTCGAAACTTCGAAAACTTGGACGCGAAGTTGCAGTGATTTGCAAGGTTAAAACCCTTTGGAGTCCATCACTTTTTTGCTTCCTCAGAATTTGTGGCAGTCACGAAAATCCGCACTCAATTTCCAACATAACTTTGGCTCTACTTCACCGATTTTGAAGATCTTGGGCTTGTTGGAAAGCTCTTGATGAGAGAAATACAATGAGCCCAAACTCGCCAAGAGCACTACTCATTGTCCGCCACAGCGCGCTCCAAACGCGAGTCCAACTCCAGATCTGAGACGAAATTGGTCTCCTGCAGCCATTTCACTGAATCTAGCTCGGAACTGTTCAAATTTATTCGCGTAGAAGCTTACCTTGCCGTGACTTCGCGCCGCGCCGGTCCTGGCACGTACCGCCTGTCGTGAAGCTGGGAAAATCCCTTTTTTAACGCACTGCTGACTCGCAGCACGCAACGTAGAAAGTCACTAGAAACTCAAAATGTTCGATCGCTCGCAGATCACTCAAACCTCATCGGAGAGACTTCGGACCTGTTGGAGGCGATAGCTAAGAGTTTTCTCCACCACCTAGACCCGTCTAATTGATGTATAACTACATATACATGTAGGTCGATAACAGGAATACGTCAAGGCACGTGCCTCTAATATTTCCCCTGGTACAGTCAGACCTCGCTTAACCGTGCACATCCGTTTTCCACAAAAAATAATATCCGAATCGGCGAGGGAACCGGATAACCGAACACCGGTTATGTTGGATGCATCACGTATGTTGTAAATCTGTAACCAGCTATTTTCTTCCGGATAAGCGAGGTCTGTATCTATCTCACACAGCACTGGTTTTTTGTTGATATGTAACTGAGCGTTACGTCATTGTGGACACGCGGTCAAGAGTTGGTGGTGCCAATTTGTCTGAAAAGTGGGGAAGAGTACTACCCCCCCCCCCCTCCAAAAAAAAAATCTTTCGACCTTCGTTCAGCACGAGCATGTTTGTACCTGATTGCCTGTGGATCGCAGTCCAGTGCCTGCTGTGAGGCGAGAATCGAGTCACGATGTGCGAAATTCGCTTGTACTTGCAGCCAGCTGTGGAAATAGCTGTATATCAGTGTACATGTATGCGGGTCCTTCCTCGTAATACTGTTTAAAAGACCGGTAATATTAACGAACATTTAATTCTAACGAGTTAATGAATTTGAAAGAATCGTTAACATTTGAAGTTGTTACTTCCTCCGCGTCATCGAAATTGTCGCAGTTTGACTTTTGATGTAAAATGCGGTATTTACTCACCAGCACTCGTACCAGAGGCAAGGGATCGGACATAGGCGATAGTCATCAGTATAGGGTGACGGCAAAGTTCTATTTTCTGTTATTGGAAGCTGGAATTTTTGAACTAGACGCAATTTCTTCGCTGATGTCGCTGCGCTGGTAATTTCGACTCGGTGAGATCAGTCAGGCGTTGCAGCCTGCACATTTCTCGTGCTATGGCCATTCACTCAAGCCCCATCACTGCTTTACCTTAGCTGGGGTGCGAATGACTTCGTGGAACAAGTGGCAGCGCTTGGAGAAACATCGAGGGGTCGGCAAACTAAATGCCTGCAACAGCGATAAAATTTGTCGCTCTGGCTGAGACACTCAGTACTACTACTAGTACATGATTGTACCTGCAAGAGCCGTGTAGACTCTACACGTAGTGCTAGTGATGCACGCGCAGGTGCCGTACCATGGTATACCAGTGCTGAAAAAGAGGGCGCGCTGGACGTGATAATACACTTACCTGCATGAGCTGTGGGCATGCCACGGCTAAAAAAAAGTTCATTATTTTCAAGATCGAGGTGATTCCGCCGACGGTAATCAACCGACCTCGCAACGATCGTGTATTCTTACTAGGCTTCGTTGGTGGTGAAGTAGAAATCATCCAGAGCTAGCAGACGACAAGCATAGCAGCCCTTGTCCTGTGGAGAAAGTCAAAGCGTTTGAGACGAGGCGCGACCAACTTTCAACCTTCCTTGAAATATTTGGGAACGAAATTTTTGCGTCCATTGACATCAGCGACGACGAGGACTTCATCTCTGCATGAAAACTCTCAGTCCAATTGTCCTAGTACGTTACTCTAGTCTTCAGACTATCATACTGTGTAATAAGTTTCGAATGGCTTAGTTTATGGAGTTGTCAGTAACAAGTGACAAGTCACTAGTCAAACTGCGACAATTTCGATGACGCGGAGGAAGTATGTGCAAAACGATATGCACATGTACAGTCATTTGCCGGTTTTGAGACAGAATTCGTTAGAATTTCACCTCGCTAACCCACAAAAGTCCGGACATCGTTAACTTTAGTTGACGTTAAAATATCTGGTCTTACAGTAGTAGACAATCTGCGGGCAATGAAAATAAGTTTATCTTGAAACGTGAGATTCCCAGTACACATTATTGCACTTGATGTCTTTGCGAGAGCGCAGAGCACAACAGGTTACACGTTACGGGAACGAGAAGAGCGAGCAAGGGACTTCTTCGCATCGTGTTCCCGCAGCGTAGAGCAGAGCATGTATAGTATTCCAAAAAGTTCCCTTATTCAAACCCCTTCTGAACGACATCTACCCCGAAGGGTTGGGATACAGTACACGCAGAAATATTCTTCTGGAATTAAATTTTGTCGTGTTCGTCCAAAGAATTTTGGACTAAATTTTTTAATTTAGTCCAAAGTTCTTTAAAATGCAGGAGTACCACAAAATCCCGCCAGAGTGCCCCTACCTCCGTGACCGTTCTAGGAGATCCAGGTGGGGAGGGGTGGATGGGCGAGTCCTACTGGCCGCATTCGGTACTACATGAACAAGTACTCACCCTACGAAAACTGTGCGTGAGTCTCGTACACCGACCAAAGGTCAAGAGCAGGGCGTCGTACAAATCCTTAAAAACGCAGGGTTTGTGCGATCCCTCTGGTCAAGAGAGTGTGAACTGTTGCGTACATTTCCAATCGGGTCGAGCACGCGTCTGTAGTGCAGTACGGCATCACACTTCACAGAGTCGTACGATGATACGTCAGGGAGGGGCGCCTGGGGGAGACGGGGCGTTCTGGCGGGATTTGAAGGTAATAGTCTAGCCTTTCAGTAGGCTTCAACATTCTTGGACGAAAATATCACCCAGACAAGTTGATTTTTGGGAGGTGGAAGAAATTAAATTTTCTGCACCCGTCTGTGGACGTGTTTGTGTGGGAACGTGTGTGTGTGTGTGTGCACCAGTATGTCTGTGTGTGTGTGTGTGTAGTGCTGCCGTAGGAGCATTGCAGCACGACAGGTGACCGTCATTGATGTGCTGAGCATACAGCTGTGCGTCGGGCCGAGCCGTTCACAGTCGGCTGACGGGAGCGACGTATCCAGCAAGTGGCAGACCAAGCTGGTATGATACGGGACACATCCTTGTGTTGCAGCGCGCATCCAGAGAGCCCTGTAGTGCCCCGTGCCTCAACAGGGTCAGCATTACCTTCCCTGGGCCAGCACAGCAGGGGTTAGTCATCCATATCCACAGCTCAGTGGAGACTCAAAACTTCGAGTAACAGCTACAGACAGTGGGTCAGTGGAGACTCAAGACTTTGAGTGACAGCTACAGGAGCACAGTGGCAAGTCCCACTGCCTGTAACTGTCACCACTAGCGCTACTGCCACCGCTGCTGCTGCTGCTGCTGCTGCTGCCTCTACTGTTACGGCTGCTTGTGGTGCTGGAAGCACTGAGTAATGCAAGGATGGCCCTGCATGCTGCTCTGTGTAGAGTCAGGCAGCCGCTGATGGTTCAACGGCAGCACACCACCACCATCGCCGCCGCAACAACACCGTCTTTAGGTGGTGCTTGGATTGCTCGCAGCTGTATGCCTGGCGTGCTGTGTGGCCGGCGGCTTTTAATGACGGACGAGTCCAGTAGTGATCATCCCCTTGCTGCTGAGCAGCCAGAGTGCCAGCGCCTGCTGGATGCAATAGAGAAGAACGGACCAGGCACCTGTACGTTCAGATCATCGGCAGACGTCCTCGAACAGCTGAAGAAAAGAGATCAAAGCGAAGCAAATCGCGACCGCCATGGGCCGGACGACCGCTTGGCGAAGCTTTTGGAGCACATGAATGGAGACGGGTCAGGTGGTGCCAAGTTTAGGACACTAGAGGAAGTGCTGGGTGAACGCCGCGTCCAACGACTTCTGTCTCGGCATCGGGAACGGTCAGGGAAGCTCCTACAACGACAACAACAACAACAACGTGAGAATGAAGAGCGTAACGCGGTGCGGAAGTGGCCGTCACTATCGCCACCAGCAACGCCACCGCCACGTGCCACTGCCACGGTATGGACGTTAAACAAACCACCGCCGTCATGTACAGCAGATTCTCACCAGTCTCCCAAGGTACGCAAGCATATCCTACCACAGACGTCGCATGCATGTACCGATGCCAAGGAAATTAAGTGGACACGACCAACACAGACGTCATATGCACATACCACTAAACATGATCACGGAACACGTACAGCAGATTCTCACCGGTCTCCCAAGGTACGCAAGCTTATCCCACCACCGTCGTCACATGCACAGAAGATTGTCCACCGAACAGGTGCCAGTTCCGGGTCCTCACCCTCCAACCGAACCGGGACCGGGTGAGTTCTTGTACAGTCCCCTGTGTGTGTGTGTGTGTGTGTGTGTGTGTGTGTGTGTGTGTGTGCGCCCGTGCGTGCGTGTGTGACTTTCTTGCATGTTGACTTGTGACGCTGTTAGAGTCATGGAACCCAGGGAGCGGAAGGTACGTCTCACATCTACAGAGAAACCTGTCTAAGACGACCGCTCAAGCTAGGGACCTTCAAAACCTGGTCTCTGTTACCAGGTGGTCTTCTTAACCAGGGTCATTTGACTGGAAATAGCATCCCTTGGTCCTGGTTTCAGCAGTCTTCAAGGATAGGTGGTTGCCTTATCCGAGTGGTCGCCTTAACAGGTTTTACTGTATATAAGGACATGTACCCCAGGGCATGATTTACACGATATCGTATTACAGTTTGCTAGGCAGTGGCGCATACTTGCGATGGTAATGTCATGGTAGTGCAGCGAATAGCTGCTGTGCTTGCCACTCATCGGTGGATAGCTGGCGTGCGGTTTGTACCTGCACCCCAGCACTGTACATGTAGTAAGTGTGGGGCCGGTTTCACGACTGACACATGCCCCTGCCCCCCGAAATGGGGTATTACAGATAGTACCCCATTTTAGGGTCCTCAATTTTTGGGGCAGGGGCATATGCCAGTCGTGAGACCGGCCCGACACATACTACAGTGCGTATGGGTTATAGCGTGGTCGTGTAAAAGAATAATATACTGCCTACAAGAATGAACTCTCATGTTTTCATAATCATAACATGGGTTTCAAGTGCACTTTTATTTTTACAAGCAATTTTATCGCATAGTAGAATATATCGGTGCTAAGAATGGAGTTTGTGTAGCGAAACATGCCAGATTAGTACAAAGTGTATCGCCTGTAGTAATAACATCTGTCCAATTCCGTTCTGATGTGACCCGCATTGCATCACACTGCTGCAGGTTTAGCTGTTGTGGTCCTGTAACTCATGTTGCATAGCCACATGACATGGTAAGCCTATGGGACTATGACCAGCCACATGCACACTAGCACTACATTGCATGTACGATGATCTTCCTGCCCCTGCGCACATGCACATCATATGTCACACGTGATTTATCGTGCGTAAGAAATATCGGAAATAACTGTCCTCGGGGAAAATCGCGGCAAAAAATCACAAAAAAACGCGGGGAAAAACGCGGCATAATATGGCATAATTTGCGGTAAATATGCGGTGAATGTTTTATGATGCGGCAAGTTCGCAGTTGATATGGGGCAATTTTCAGTGAGTATGTAGTGAAATCAATCAGTTACAAGTCTCTGGTGTAAGCACTCGTCATATTTGATTACAAAGCCGCCACGATGAGACGTTGCTGACCGAACAGTGCAACAAAAAAGTTCAAAAAACGCGGGGAAAATCGCGGAAAACGCGGTCTTTTAAAAAATCGCAAAAAACGCGGCCACGGAATCGCGATTTTCCCCGGGGACAGGAAATAAGAATAGAAAGTCGTTTTTCAAACACCCACGCAATAACTGATACCTACTGGACTTTCTGTAAAGCGATAAACTTTCGCGGCGCGCAAGTTTTGCATTTTCATGAATTGGGCTGGTTCACGATGAGAAACTTTTGCGATTCTATCTCTTCAGTCGGATCTTGCACGGCCTACAATCAATGTCCGGAGACGTTTGCGGCGATTTATATTCGCAAATGTGTGATGGTTGCGAAAATAGCGACATTTAATCTCTAGCGAAAGTTTCTCACTTAACAGTACCCCGCGTTTTGTACTGAGCACGCGGTAATGGAGCACACAAACTCGCAGCGCGATTTGCTAAAACTGCTTTGCGAAAATGAAAAAAATGAAAAACGACTGCTTTACAAATGTGAAAGTGTGTAGCACTTTTGTTATGCGTTTGGATTTGAATTTTTAGAAGAAGTCAAGTTCGCATGCATCCACTAACGCATCCAGTCCACAAGACACTTCACATGATACTGCACAGCAGGAAATTTTCGGACGGAAATATTTTCGGACAAAGCCGAATTTCGACCTTTCGTACGGATTTTATTTTCGTACCAGTGCTGCATGCTAAATGCACGTGTTCGCATGCGGTACGCATGTATAGTGTACAAAACTTCACAGGAACAAAATTTAAAAGTACGAAATACATTTTAGTACAAAAGAGGCCATGTACGAAATCGTACGAAAATAAATTCCGTCCGAAAATTTCCTGCTATACAGTAACTGATCAGGAGTGTTTTCTGGACTGGATGCGTTAATTGCGTGGATGCATGCAAACTTGAATTGTTGTAGAAATATTTTTTTTGCCTCCGCCCTCCGTTGTTGTTTTGTATTTGTTTTATCACATGTCACATGACTGTTGCCATGGATCGGGCCAATCACTGATCTGTATGAGAGCGGGCAATAAATCAGTCCAACGCCCGTCGTCCGTGACAACCCTGACAGTGACACTGGACGCGTGAAATCTACGGGTTGTGTTGTTTCATGTCCGCCTGCCCGTGGTGTTCTCTCCCCCGTGTACATTGTCTCCTGTTGAATGCTAACAAGTCTTACTCTAGCTTTTCGTGCATGTGTGCCTCTGTTCTTTGTGCAGAGATGGAACCAGCTCTCGTTTTCCTGAGGAGGAACCGCAACAGCAGCAGAAACGGTCAGAGGAACTCCTACAACGACAACAACAACAACAACGTGAGAATAGAGATTTGAAACAACAACAACAGGGTACAAAAGGGAAGCTTGCCAAGGTAGTTAAGTTGGACCCACGACCACCATCGCCATCACGTCCGACCACTGCTAAACATGGCGACAAACCAGCAACACAGATCATGACGTGGGGAGGTCGTGACCAGCCGCGCGTGACTAGCTCTCCTGTGCACACCGCTCAACACTCCAGTAGTCACCCAGCAACAAGCACAGGTGGCGACAAGCGTGACACAGCGTGGATGTGGCTGTTTCCATCATCATCGCCACCAGCAATGCTGCCGTCACGTGCCACCAAACATGATCAAAAAACACGTACAGCAGATTCTCACCAGTATCCCAAGGTACACAAGCTGAACTCACCCCAGACGTCGCATGCACATACCACTAAACATGATCACGAAACACGTACAGCAGATTCTCACCAGTATCCCGAGGTACACCAGCTGAACCCACCCCAGACGTCGCATGCACATACCACTAAACATGATCACGAAACACGTACGGCAGATTCTCACCCAACACCGTCGTCACATGCACACAAGGGTGTCCACCGAACAGGTGCCAGTTCCGGGTCCTCACCCTCCAACCGAACCGAGACCGGGTGAGTTGTTGTACAGTCCTCTGTGTGTGTGTGTGCGCGCCCGTGCGTGCGTGTGTGACTTTCTTGCATGTTGACTTGTGACGCTGTTAGAGTCGTGGAACCCAGGGAGCGGAAGGTACGTCTCACATCTACAGAGAAACCTGTCTAAGACGACCGCTCAAGCTAGGGACCTTTAAAACCTGGTCTCTGCTACCAGGTGGTCTTCTTAACAAGATGTAGTGAAATCAATCAGTTACAAGTCTCTGGTGTAAGCACTCGTCATTTTTGATTACAAAGCCGCCACGATGAGACGTTGCTGACCGAACAGTGCACTCTGTGTACGTGTAGTGCAACAAAAAAGTTCAAAAAACGCGGGGAAAATCGCGGAAAACGCGGTCTTTAAAAAAAACGCAAAAAACGCGGCCGCGGAATCGCGATTTTCCCCGGGGACAGGAAATAAGAATAGAAAGTCGTTTTTCGAACACCCACGCTATAACTGATACCTACTGGACTTACTGTAAAGCGATAAACTTTCGCGGCGCGCAAGTTTTGCGTTTTCATGAATTGGGCTGCTTCACGATGAGAAACTTTTGCGATTCTATCTCTTCAGTCGGATCTTGCACGGCCTACAATCAATGTCCGGAGACGTTTGCGGCGATTTATATTCGCAAATGTGTGATGGTTGCAAAAATAGCGACATTTAATCTCTAGCGAAAGTTTCTCACTTAACAGTTCCCCGCGTTTTGTACTGAGCACGCGCTAATGGAGCACACAAACTCGCAGCAGCGCAATTTGCTAAAACTGCTTTGCGAAAATGAAAAAAAATGAAAACGACTGCTTTACAAAAAATTTTAATGTGAAAGTGTGTAGCACTTTTGTTATGCGTTTGGATTTGGATTTTTAAAAGAAGTCAAGTTCGCATGCATCCACTAACGCATCCAGTACAGAAGACACTTCACATGATACTGCACAGCAGGAAATTTTCGGACGGAAATATTTTCGGACAAAGCCGAATTTCGACCTTTCGTACGGATTTTATTTTCGTACCAGTGCTGCATGCTAAATGCACGTGTTCGCATGCGGTACGCATGTATAGTGTACATAACTTCACAGGAACAAAATTTAAAAGTACGGAATTCATTTTCGTACAAAAGAGGCCATGTACGAAATCGTACGAAAATAAATTCCGTCCGAAAATTTCCTGCTATACAGTAACTGATCAGGAGTGTCTTCTGGACTGGATGCGTTAATTGCGTGGATGCATGCAAACTTGAATTGTTGTAGAAATATGTTTTTGCCTTCGACCTCCGTTGTTGTTTTGTATTTGTTTTATCACATGTCACATGACTTTTGCCATGGATCGGGCCAATCACTGATCTGTATGAGAGCGGGCAATAAATCAGTCCAACGCCCGTCGTCCGTGACAACCCCGAGAGTGACACTGGACGCGTGAAATCTACGCGATTTGAACACGGTGATTGTGTACAGCGCAGTGTACATGTGAACGCTTGTTCGAAAGTGGCGATCTCAGCTTTTCTTTTTCTTTCCTTTCAAGTGTTGCTGCACACGAGGTCAACTTTCTCCTTTAGTTTTGATTCTTTCAGGTTAGTGTCTTCAGTAATGTTAGGCTGAAAGTGATAAATTCATTATGGCATAGTTGGTCGGGCAATAATGGATTTCCAGTCCCCTCCAAGTGAGCCCTCGGGCTCACTTGTCGGGCACTGAAAATCCAGTATTGCCCTCCCAACCATGCCATAATATATCCGTATTTTGCATCGAGCAGATCATAGCCCCTACCCCAGACCGCATGCTTCTCGACCCCGGACTTGGAAGATTGACGTGACCGTGTGTGTGTGTCTTGTATGCAACACACATACACACACACACACACACACACACACACACGCACACACACGCACACACACTTGTTTCTTGTACACCAGCGACGTCCAAGCTGAGTTGATGTAGTACTGAGATGCCGAGGTCCAGTTTCCTGTCTTGAACAACCTTGTTTTGAATACTTGCCGTTTCAATGCTTCCTTCGCTCTCAACGAGAGAACGAACATTCCAGGATCCGACGCGGATCAGGCAGCGTCTCCTCCTCTCTCTCTCCGTGCTTGGGCAGATTTTTGAAGCGCTGGTCTCTGTCCACTCGGGGGTTTGCCAATCCGCCGCGAGTGGGAAATTCAGGCGCAACAAGAAGTGGTGCCATCGTTCGACACCCCGTCTTCTTCTTGCGCTGGCCCAGAATCTCTTGCGCTGAGAATTACATGTCCTGGGACGGCCCTGGTGGACCAGAGCCGCCCCAGGAGACTCGTGGAACTAACTACTTTCGACAACTCGGAAAATTCAAGCCGTCCCCAGAGGGAACAAATTTACACACACACACACAGTCGCGTTCAGGGCAGTGATCTGCTGACCTGAAATGCAGCCTAGACCAGTGTACAGCCAGCAATGTTCGACAGTGAGTGCAGAAACCTGCCCCCCCCCCCCCCCCCCCCCCCCCGCGCGAGTGGGACGTTGTGTTGTTTCGTGTCCGCCTGCCCGTGGTGTTCTCTCCCCCGTGTACATTGTCTCCTGTTGAATGCTAACAAGTCTTACTCTAGCTTTTCGTGCATGTGTGCCTCTGTTCTTTGTGCAGAGATGGAACCAGCTCTCGTTTTCCTGAGGAGGAATCGCAACAGCAGCAGAAACGGTCAGAGGAACTCCTACGACGACAACAACAACAACAACAACAACAACGCTCGTTTGAGCTGATGGAACGTACTACAACAGAACAGCACGTCCAAAAAGAACGGTTGGAGCAGCAACAGGTGGAGGAGCAACAGCAGCAGGTGGAGCAGCAGCAGCAACAGGACCAGCAGGTGGAGCAGCAGCAGCAACAGGACCAGCAGGTGGAGCAGGAAAAACAGGTGGAGCAGCAACAGGCAGAGCAGCAGCAGCAGCAGGTGGAGCAGCAGCAGCAGCAACAGCAACAGCAACAACAGGACCAGCAGGTGGCGCAGCAGGTGGAGCAGCAACAGGCAGAGCAGCAGCAGCAACAGCAACAACAGGACCAGCAGGTGGCGCAACAGGCAGAGCAGCAGCAGCAGCAACAGCAACAACAGGACCAGCAGGTGGCGCAACAGGCAGAGCAGCAGCAGCAACAGGCAGGGCTGCAGCAGCAGCAACAGCAGCAGCATGATCAAGAGATGAAGAAAGCCCCGTCGGTCATGGCTAGCATCAACAATATGTTCGACAAGCTGAATAGTCTTTGGAAGAAATGAGTGAGGTGGTGACAATCTGTGTCATTCATGTACCTGCTCACTTGCATGGCGTCCTGTCTCTGTGTCAGCTTGCCTGAATCTGGTCACTTGCTGGGGAGTTCTGCCCTGCGTTGACCCAGTGTGTCCCAGGTCACTTGCTGGAAAGTTCTGCCCTACAGTAGCCCGTGTGTCCCAGGTTACTTGCTGGGGAGTTCTGCCCTACAGTAGCCCGTGTGTCCCAGGTCACTTGCTGGAAAGTTCTGCCCTACAGTAGCCCGTGTGTCCCAGGTTACTTGCTGGAAAGTTCTGCCCTACAGTAGCCCGTGTGTCCCAGGTTACTTGCTGGGGAGTTCTGCCCTACAGTAGCCCGTGTGTCCCAGGTTACTTGCTGGGGAGTTCTGCCCTACAGTAGCCCGTGTGTCCCAGGTTACTTGCTGGGGAGTTCTGCCCTACAGTAGCCCGTGTGTCCCAGGTTACTTGCTGGGGAGTTCTGCCCTACAGTAGCCCGTGTGTCCCATGTTACTTGCTGGGGAGTTCTGCCCTACAGTAGCCCGGGTGTCCCAGGTTACTTGCTGGGGAGTTCTGCCCTACAGTAGCCCGTGTGTCCCAGGTTGTTTGTACTGCAGTAATAGATGTGTGTACTGCACTTTCGACTTGGCGTGTTGTGCCTGTGTATACTATCTGTAGCTGAATGGGTGCTAGGCCTGGGCTGGTGTTCTTGTTTTGTTTTTTGTGCGTTGTGTGTGTGTGTGTGTGTGTGTGTGTGTGTGTGTGTGTGTGTGTGTGTGTGTGTGTGTGTGTGTGTGTTACTGTGTGTTACTGTGTGTTACTGTGTTTCGGTGCATGCAGCCATATTGCACTACTCTCTTACTAGTAGTAGAAGGCCACGCTTGCTGCTCCTTTCTTTTGTCCTTTTGTGTTTGCTTAGTGTCAGTAGTCAGAGGGGCTGGTAATCTGGCTCCTTCCCCTCTCCGCGTGCATCGTTATAACTCTCCTGCTCTGTTCTTCACCTATTAGATTTTCTTAGGTAGTTCTTATGTTCAGCGTTTTCAATTTCCTCCGAGCTAGTTCGTTTTGTTCTGTTTCGGCAACTTTTGGAGTGCAGTCCATTTTCAACTCTCTCAGCCGCGCTGTTTCGTGTTAGCGCTCGTGAAAGTATCACTTTCCCATTCCATTTTACTTGAATTTTGTTGTTGACTGTTGTCACTGTTGTTTTCACCTTTTTATTTTATTGCTTATTCTTAGCGTTTAGGTCTTGACATTGGGCAACTTGCAGCTCCAAGCTGCTGTAGAACATCACTTTGATTTACTGTTTATGCCTGTGTGTGTGTGTGTGTGTGTGTGTGTGTGTGTGTGTGCGCGCCAGCGTGTGTGTGTGCGAGGCACAAGTGTAACGCTGTTCGCGCAGCCAGCGCGCACTCAGTCTGGCGTTCCCCACCCGGTGGACAACACGCCTCCTGGTCTTCCCCTCATGGGGTCACATAGCCAGCCATGGCAGTGGAAGAAGGAAGGTGTGTGTGTGTGTGGAAGGTTATCTGGCGCTAGTCTTGATCTGTCTCATTCAGATCTTGTCCGCTATCGTTGCTATAAGAGAAAATCTGTGGGTGCACATCCAGTGCATTTGCAGATTTGCGTGCTTCTCTTGCGACGGGCGTATACATGGTACATGGTGTGTGTGTGTCTTTGCACTTAGGAAGTTCAGCACGCCTCTGCCTGCATGTGCAGGACATGTGGAGTGACGTTGGTGGTGGCAAGGAAGACATGACCTCAGCGGGCGAGCTATGTGCTTTGTCACGCACACTCTACACCAGGGGGTTGTAGAACTGCCTGCTCTACACACAACGACACATCGAAGACAAAAACCCACTCCGGAAAAGAGAGCTTTCACGCCTGTCGCATGACCACATGGGGCAGCCATGTTGGTTCCAACTCCACTCAACTCCTAGTATAAACAGGGAGTGGTATTTTACGACTCCCTGGTACTAAACATTTTTTACTTTCGCATCTATGGGTCACATGATGTCGGCCATGTTGGTTCCACTGTCCACATGACATGATCACTTTCTGCACAAATCTAGTCACATGACATGACATCACTTTCTGCACAAATTTAGTCACATGACGAACTGATGTGAGCCCTGCCACTGAGCCGCCACTCTATAGGTTGTTACACAGAGTTCATGATGACGGCAACCGAGTTTGCCATCGGCAGGAGCTTTATACAGGTACTACTGTTGTGGACATGGAAATCCGGTCGCACGTCTAGCGGCCCCAGGGCGCTGGCCATGCAGCCGTGAAGCAGTACACACATGCATTATGCGCCGTTGCAGTTCTGGTCGCATCGGATCAACATGATTATGCACTGCATGCACCGCTCTGTACGCGCTGAGGGCGCCGGCCCCGGTCAATCGACTGGATTTCCATGTCCGCGACAGTAGGATGCAAACATATTGGCAGAGGCTTTTCGATTCACTCACATCAGTATTCTACTGGGCATGCTGTGGGTAGGTTTTAGAAGAAATATTACTACTCGTTTGCCATTTAATGGCAAACGAGTAGTAATATTTCTACTAAAACCTACCCCCAAATTTTTGTTGTTGTGGCAATACATGTCCACCAATACCTGTGT